GAAGACAGTCAAAAACAAATCCGACCTGTTTTGACATTACGAAGATATTCTGTGACGTCCTGTTTTTCAAACGTCGCACTGCCTGCCCTGTGCACGTAGCGTCGAATAGCAGTTGAGGCAGGAATAAATCACTCTGCGGTTATTAGTTGCAGTTACTGGTTACACAGCTTAGTGGGGAAACGGGAGCGCGTGGTTTGATGCGAGGGATCTCCTTGTTAATACAAGGACTGTAGAATTCGTGAGACTGAGAACACACAGGGATCTAAGTCACGCTCACAAAACGATTTATCGTGCAGCCCTAAGACAATATACCTGTGTTTTCACAGGCTTAGCATGCACCAAGAAAAAAACCGATCTTGTTCCCCTTCAGTGTCATTGACTAAATTAAGGATGCAAGTTTGTAAATGTAGTGACTAATTTGTCTAAGGTTCCCTTGACACCTGCTGATCTTTGTTTTTTAACAATATAACTGCATCTCTGGTAAATTTACCATGTGTGCCTTAAAGAATTGATGCAAAAAAGCGTAAAATGCACCAATAGAGATAAAGCATCTAGGTATTTCTACAATATTTACAGTGGTGTGTTGGACGCCATCTCACACGTCCGTGAGTAGCTTCCCCTTGTTCACACAGTTCTGGCTGGGGGCCGTACAGTTGGCAGTCCTAAGGTTGGCTTCCCTAAAGTTATCAATGCTGTTGTTCATATCCTCGTCTATCTCCATGTACTCTGACTTGCTGATCATTGAGGAACTGCGGCGGCTCGAGTTGGTGTCGGACTCCAAGTTCTGGTTGCTGACATTGAGCAGTTGGGCTTGCTCCTCGCCTTCTGTCTCTCTGTGGTAGAAGTAGTTGAAGTTGGACACGATGACCGGCACCGGCAGAGCGATGGTTAATACTCCAGCGATGGCGCACAGCGAACCCACGATCTTTCCTCCAATGGTCACAGGATACATGTCCCCATAGCCAACGGTTGTCATCGATACCACAGCCCACCAGAAAGCTTCTGGGATGCTTTTGAAATATGACTTCGACTCCTCTGCCTCAGCAAAGTAAACAGCACTCGAAAACAAAATCACACCAATAAAGAGGAAGAAAATGAGCAAACCCAACTCCCGCATGCTCGCCTTTAAAGTTTGTCCCAAAATCTGGAGCCCCTTGGAGTGTCGGGACAGTTTAAAGATCCTGAACACCCTGACCAGACGGATTACCCTGAGAATAGCCAGAGACGTGGCCTGTTCCCCTCCTCCCTTACCCTCCCCGTTGCCTTCATCGTCAGCCAGTTCTGTGCCAAGTGTGATGAAATATGGGACGATAGCCACAATGTCAATAGTGTTCATCATGTTTTTAAAGAATGCCGCCTTGCTGGGACAAGCAAAAAACCGAACTATCAACTCAAAGGAAAACCAGATGATGCAGAGCGTCTCCACCACAAAGAAAGGGTCTGTGAAAACATTTGGTTTGTAAAACACGGTGGTGTTCCCCACAATTTGCATCAGGTTGCTGGAATCCTCCTTCAGATCTGGCAGTGTCTCTAAACAAAATATGACTATTGAAATAAGAATAACCATCACTGAGATGATGGCGATACCCCGGGCTGGACCAGAGCTCTCTGGATGCTCAAAGAGGAGCCAGATTTGCCGCTGAAACTCCTTTTCTGGCAAAGGTCGCTCCTCCTCCCGAATAAACCCCTCATCCTCCCTAAATTTCTCCATAGCCTCAGCGCCGAGTTCATAAAACTTTATCTCCTCTGAGAACATATCTAGGGGCACATTAACTGGTCTTCTTAGTCGCCCCCCAGATTGGTAATAATACAGGATGGCGTCAAAACTCGGACGATTCCGGTCAAAGAAATACTCGTTTCGTAGGGGGTCAAAGTAGCGCATCCTCTTCTTGGGGTTCCCGAGGAGAGTATCCGGGAACTGGGAAAGGGTCTTAAGTTGGGTCTCGAAGCGCAGCCCCGAGATGTTGATGACCACCCGCTCACAGCAGTCATGGTCATTGTGGTCGTCATTGGGCAGGTAGGGGTCCTGTGGGTGACCGGGCAGGGTGGAGGTCTCGTCCATGTTTTCTGTGGACACCACAGTCATCTTTCCTGGTGGGTGAAAGACAGGAAGGGGAAGCGCTGTGAAGAAGGGAGGAGGCGGGTTGGTGTGAAGGATCTCCTACTGAGGCCAGCAGCTGTGCAGAGCCTCCCTCTCTACCACCATGATCTCCAAGCTAAACATCTTTCTCTCAGGAGCGCTTCATCCGGCACCTGGAAAACCAGACAGATTCTCACTTAGTCTGTTAATCTGCTGAAGAGCTTCCCGTTTGTCGAAAGCAGCACGAGAGAGAGAAAAAATCATGCAGTACAAAACATTACAGTACTACAGCAGCTTGTGCTGCTTATACTGTATCTTTTACCGCATATATCAATATTCAAGTTTGCAGTCCTGCTGCGCGCGCTCTCAGTTTTCACACATCAACCACTGTCCGGGCAAAAAGTGTAACACATTCATTTGAGAAAATGAATATGAACTATTTCTTTAATCAGACAAAAATGTACCTTCGCTGAGTTGGAGATCTCCAGATGGAAGGAATGCCCTCACCGTGCGCACCGTTCTCCGCGGCCACCCACCACAACTTGAGTTTAATACTGATATCGCTTTACCGTATTTCTGAAATATTAATAGACTATGTTGTCTTGGGCAACATCCGTATCCTCTCGGTGTAGGTTTTCAGCGTCGATCGGAGCAGCCCGCAGCAGGAAGAGGAGGCTTCAGACGGCTGTGAACCGCGGCTCAGCAGCAGAAATCCTGACGGACAGCTTGTTAAAATCATGCTGGAAATAACGGAGTAGAAAGATTATAAAAACAAGCTAGATCAGGCGCCAAGTCTGACAGAGATGACTGGGAGTACTGGACACTGCAGCAGCAACACCGACTCTCCCGTTTTTTGCTGCGGTAAAAATATTAATGATAATGCAGGGGCTTTAAAGGAAAACACGTTTAGGATCCGGCACTGTAGGCGCCACATACAGGACCTGATTGTGGGCATTTAGAAGAATATTGCTAGATTTCATGCAAAGAGAAAAAAGTGAGTGAAGGAGGGGGGAGGAGTGAATGAGGGGAGCGATGAAGAGGAGAGGAGGGGGCTTCGACGCATTGCAGACACACTGTATAACAACTGGCACTAGAGTGTGTCTGCAGAACCAGCAGCAGCTCCGCACTGAGCGGCGCAAGTCCTATCACGTGACATTCATCAAAAGGTTCGCTGCTTTAGAAGCAGCTGGAGGATGCAGCGTGGTCCGCCGACTCACGTGATGGAAGCCGTGTGTCCGCTCCAAACACTCCTGCAGGTGTTTGAGCCCCGGTCTGAGGGGCGACTTGAGGAATCCGCAGCAGGAAGCCTGTCAAACAGTTTTCTGTAATTGGCTGCTGAGCAGTTTGACAGTCATGGCTGCGTGTTGGTGCAATTATCCCGATGTTGCTATGGTAACAGCGAGAAGTCAGCACAGTTTTTAAGATTTCTTTAGTCCTGTATGAAACATGGCAGCCAGAGATGGATCAGTCAGTTATATATTGGTTAATATATGCGACATGGATAACAGTGACGTGCGGTGAGGTTGACAGCTGGTGAGGCACTGACTCTTTTACAGTCAGATTTACAAATACAAATGAACCGTTAACAAACAATGCGTTATGTTTATCTCATATCAGCATTCTTCACACAAACATGACCCATATTTAATTTGAGGTTAAAATTTATTCCAGTTGAGCTTATTTCTAACTAGAAATAATAAAAGTTTATGGTCTTACCTTTACTTGTACACCAAATCCATTTGTCAGCTGGTATGTATTACAAACCCTTTTACCGTTCGAATCCAATATTAAAACAAATGTTTTCAATAAAGAAGATCCTTCTGGACAAAAATGTCCAGACTGTCAAAAATGTTTTGATTGAAAGTCCAGATTTGCGAATTTTCTCAGCTTGGAAATGTAATCTTCCATTTTGATAAGGCGGATTGTAAAGGAAATATAAACAAGCACGAAGAAGATTGTAGGTAGCGCAAGAATCTGTGGGCTCACTAGCGCCCTCTGCCTTGAGGCAGGCGTACTGTTTGCCTCACCGAGTAACTTTTTTACTGGGTTTTATGGTTAATCTGGAGCCTAAACACGTTACACAACTACATTTTATACATTATCCAGATGATGGCAAGGCAGAGCATATAATCAGAGTGTTTGAAAGCATTTTATTTGTGATATATAGAGGGACAGCGACACACTATTGGCATCGCATACAGTTTGTGAGGATTACACGATCCACCGAGAGACACAGCAAAGTGCTGCCTCATCGCGCATCTCCTCCATGTATTTGAACGGGACATACGGAAATTCTGCTATTCTTTATTGAAATAAAATCCTTCAACATCGGATTCGAACGGCAAAAGGGCCTACAACACACACCAGCTGACAAATATTAACATTTATTATATTTTATGGTTAACTTTATGGTTAACTTTTTTTTTCTTTTCAGGATTGACAGGGGAGGCTCTGCCTCACCTGCCTCCCCTGACCGCACGTCACTGATGGATAATAATATAAGCTAAATCCACTACTTCTAAGATTTTAAATATATTTACATTTTATTTAATCCATCATATATCTCGAATGCAACTATTTACAACAAATAAATCTTTTAAATAATCTGTCTCATTCTGACAACATATGTGAATACATCTTTATATGAAGCTAATGAGAGAAGTTGAGAGGCCAATACACAGAAGTAGCTTTCGATTGGGACTGAAAGGGTGGATGCAGAATAGATGCTGTATGAGTTTACCTTTACTGCCTTTAGCTTCGCAAAATATACAGTTCATTTAGAAGGTTTTCCTTCAGTCTCAGTATTTGCAGACTTTTATTTTTGGAAAAAAAATAAACCAGAGAGAGTATTTGTGATTCTCTGAAGAATCAGTGAAAGTGTTTGTTGTTTTCAAATCCCCAAGAGAGTTTTGAAACCCAGCATCATGGACAGCTTCACCTCTCATTGTGCAAGTTATTAACCAGTAAATCAGCATTTTGGGGAATGAAGTAGAAAAGTAGGTGTTCAAAAACATATATATGCCACAGTAACACTTGGATGTGTGTTTGTGAGAGAGTTGCATGGACATGGTGTTGCGTAAGGCAGGGTGCCAGTTTTCACACTGAAGATGATGGAAATGTATGTTATCAGACAGAATCAGCTGAACTTTATACATCACATCTGTTGTTGTAAGACCACATGAGGCTGATATAGTAGGTTTATCTAATTTTACAAAACAGTTTATGTTAGTGAAAATATAATGAGCAGATCCGTTAATGGTTAGGCCTGCAGGCTAAGACTGACAACAAACACACAGTTCCTTAGACTTCACATCCTGGTTTGTCTCCTGACCTGTATGAACCATGTCCAGTCAACTCAATGTGCCGCAGATAGACTCCAGTCAGGTTCTGGACACATCTCAAACAGGATGCACCTCAGCACAGTGTGGAGCCACAGCACAGGATTTTAGTTTTAGTTGTTTTAATGCACTTGATCAAGCGTTGATCAAATCAGCAACATTCCCTCTATGCACATTTACAGTCAAGTATTAGTTATGAAAAACATTTACCTGTTTGTTCGTTAAACGCTCTTCAAAAGCCTGTTTGTTCCTTTATTATTTATTTTACCTGTCATTATTTTGCTCCTCTCCTAGTAGTCCACTGCATGTTGCTCTACAGATATGGCACTGTTGTGTAAGCAGATTGGAGGCAGCATGAGTGAAAGCCCAGCAGATGGGCCGAGCAGTGGGCATGAAATCTGGGAGATCAGCTGGCTTCGAAAGCTGGAATCTGTCCCAATTACACTAATAATGGAGAAGCATTTGGAATGAGAGAATAAAAAGAAAGAAGTCAAGAATGTAGGGATGGTTTATTGAAAGTCCTTATCATTCCTTCCTTTTCCTTAAATTACAAGAACTAAAACCTGAAATCTGCCCTCTGTGCCTGTGAGGCAGAATGCAGGGCGAAACACGGCTACAGTGGCAGACAATGAAACCTGAAACAGCATCTTCTGTTTATAAGCATCAAGAAGTATGCACACAGTACATCTCAAAACAGACGTTAAAAATGTGCAGGATATTAACAAACACAAGGCAGAAACAGTTTTAACACAACAGAAACAACTGAAAAGTCTCAGGGAGTTTTCTAAAGGTGAAGGAGAGGAGCGTGTTATCATGTGTAGGACTCTGGTGTGGATGAAGGTTGTTCTGTGTGAGTGACTGAACTGTATTTGATGGTACAGTGTTAGTTGGCCACTGTAACTGGCCGACAGCCATCAGCTGCACGTCGTGATGAAATCCCGAAAACTACATATACTGTAGTTTGAAAACATCCCTGTAGAGCACAATCCTGTCTGGACAATGAAAATACATTTCCAGTTCATTCAGAGCCTCTTGTGTGTCTTGGGCTTTTAAACATATGTTTATTTAGTGAACAACTGCATCCTGTGCCATAGACAGTCAGCTCCTGAAGGTGTATATTAGAAAACAAAAGCATGGCTTTGTGCTCTGTTATGCACACATGACAAAGATGTACAATGAGTTTCAATCTATGTGATGTTTTAACCTTTGACCTAAAGATTCAAAGGGTATGATTATAGTTCAGCTCATCGTATCTGATGCTAAAGTATGCAAGAATTCACACAGATTTTACACATGATTGTTGGTTTACCTGTCATGGTCTGTGACAACAGGTGTGTAAGGTGGTATGTACAGTATGTCTGTAATGCGTTCTGTCGCTCTGGAGGACAACGTGTAGAGAAAGCTGAGTTGTCTCAGTTTGAAATCCTGCTTTACAGACTGCAGGTCTAGAGTTTTAAGACGTTTACCTGGCAGGGCGGCTCTAACAAAAAGACGTAATCAAGTTGCATTATGGGAAATATAGTAGTCTTGTTGAAGCTTGACCTATACTGGGGAGTCGGGGTATTGCAGTCACACAGTGAGTCTCCAGTGTTGTGGGAGTGCGATATTAAATCCCTGTAAATGCACATACTTTCATGTGTAGCATGTAAACATGTTATTGCTTGACAGTGATGCACAGAACAGCTGAGACGCCATCGTCCTTCCAGAAAAAGGGGAGCCCGAAAAAGCTGAGATGTTGCTGAACACACACATTCTCAGTGACACAAGTGCACCGCTGCTCCTCACATGAATTCATCTCTGTGGTGTCCTCCAAAGTACGGCGCTGCCTGGACGGAGCTTTATATCGTTTTAGGTGATACTTTATGTGCAGACTGCGGCGGTACAAAGGAGAGGTTGCTGCTGTAACTGGCTGAGCATCAGATTACAGCTGCAGCTTCACCAGTGCTGACAGAGCCGCACCTAGAACCTCTTCTCAAAGCAAGTGGAAAGTTTAATGTGCACTTGAACTTGTGAGAGAGCTCGTGCCCAGCTCAGCCGATCAGCCGCTGAGCTCCTGAAGGCTACAGCTTCCTCGACTGGGAAGCAGAGACTGATAAGGACAGACGAGGATTTGTTTCTTCATTTACCCTGCAAATGGTGGAGGAGCACTTTACAAGCAGCCAGACTGGATTCACACAGAGTTAAAACAGCACAAGGTGCTGCTTGTTGTTTCATTTGAAACAATGAACTACAGGAAGTGCAGTTGGACAGATGCACATGTTTAAAGCATATTAGACTCAAACACAGCACAGTAAGCAGCCAAACGGGGGAGGGATGCCTCTGCTTCATGCAGACCAACTCTGTGTCCCGCATGGCAATCCGGCCCTGTCATCTCCTACCTTGTATCAGAAGCGGGGGTACTCATTAAGCCTTCTTCTTCTCCATCACTGTCCTCTCCATCATCTCATCCTACATCTCTCTTATTTAGGTTCAGAGTACCTCAGAGGGAAGACCTCAGCAGACAGAGAGAGAGAGGAAGATGAAGATGGGGGAAGATCTAATGTAACTTGATGAAATATTAATCTGATAGACTTGCTGGAATACTGTCGCTCAGGAGGCTCCAGATGAATGCTGGCTTCTGACACTCCATGTGCAGAGAACGAAGCTGATAACAGATGTAATATAGCCTACACATCTACCCACTGATGCCAGGATTCATTTTGTGTATCATGTTGTTGTGTGTGGAATCAAGCGTAAAAACTAGAATCAAATAAAAAATTACTAGTGGTCGGCTGGTTAATGTGGCCGATTTTCAGCATCGGCCAGTGACTGCAGACAGATAACATTTTTGTTGTGTCTCAGGAAAATGCAACTGTTAAGTGCACAAAAATGTTTTATATATATTTTATTCATAATGGTTTATTACAGCCAGGCTTTTTGATTATTTGTGAACTTTTTTTTTTTTTATTTTAAAATTAGGTGAGTGCAGATTGTAGCAAATGAGACCAAGAAATGACAGACTTTTTTGTTTTATTATTTTGGAGCTCTTACATTCTTTCCTGACTAAGTGTAGTCTGGGAGACAGAAGAAGATTTAGTATTAAACTTTAAATCTGTTGCTCATTAACAGTACATACAAACTAGGTGCCACAAAACATGGTAAAGTTACACCAGCAGTGTGACTGAAAAAGGCAACACTGACATGGTAAATGACACACTAC